AGTTTCAATGTAGTAAGATCTGGGCATGCAGACAGCCCAGCTTCTACTACATTTAAATTGCAGAGCTGGAGTGGGGGTAGCTCCTGGACCCAGCATGAGCTAGGACTGAACAGGACTTGCTTGCTCCCATCTTGTGCCAGGTCCAGCAGCCCCTGTCCATGGAGAGTCCCAGGAAGCCTCAGCAGCTCCTGTCCACAGGGGTTCCAACTCCCCACTGGGACACCCTGCGGACAAGGGCTGCTTAAGTAGTCGACTCAACTATCCAATAAACCTAGGCTTATCGGTAAATGACTAATAGACTACTCTTCTATATTCCTACCCTGAACCCTCACTGATATGGCCCTCAACTGAGAGACCTCATTCCCCTGCTGCTCCAGCCCCATGGGGCGGGAGGGGAGTAGGCAAGAAAAAGCGCAGAGAGGACCAAGGTTCAGGGCTCCCCTGGCCAGATTAACTCTGAGATCTCAGGGTTGGTAGATTTTGTAACCCCTCCCTAAGATCTGGGATGAGGCCAAAACTTAGGAGTTAAGGTTGCCAGTGAGTGGCACAGGGATGGGGATACAGGAGGGGGTGAGTGTTTGGGAGTCTGACTAGGAGGGAGGCTGTAGGGGTGGCCTTGTGGGTAGAATGTCTGGCCAGGAGGGAAGGAATAGTGCAGGAGCTGGCTAGGAGTACAGGGTCTTGGGGGGAGGGGTACATGAGGGAAATGGGGATGCAGGGGTCTGGGCATCAGCAATATGGGGGCTTTGTGCTCCCTACCACTCCTGGGCACTGGTCCCATTGGCCATGATTCTACCTAATGGGAGTAGTGGGGAAAGCCTCTAGACAGTGCATCTGTGTGCTGGTGTTCCCCTAGCTGGAGGGGGCTGGGGTGAGAGGGAGCAGCAGCACATAGAGCCACTTGCTCCTCCCATGAGCTGGATCCAGCCGTGAGGCTTGGGGCTTTAATTCTGTGAACAAATAGGGAAGATGCTCCCAGAGCACCAGTGCTTCATCAACCGTACCTTGAGGATAACTACGTTAATCAAACACCTGTACAGGGTACTGTGCAAATAAGATACAACTGCTATATTTTCATACTAAAAGAAGCTCCTGTCCTCTGTTCTTAATTAGACTGCTGATACATTGCAAATACAGTCTACATGTACCACTTTATATCTTCATGAGGCTATGTCTACACTGCAGGCTTTTTGCGCAAGAACAGCTGTTCTTGTGCAAAAACTTGCAGAGTGTCTACACTGCATGTGCGTTCTTGCACAAGTAAATTTACAGCAAAGCGTTGGAAAACAGGGCTTCTTGCACAAGAGTTATTCCTCTCCCCACGAGGATTAATCCTTCTTGCGCAAGAGCTCTTCCACAAAAGGGCAGTGCAGAGAGACAACAGGTTTCTTGTGCAAGAAAGCCCTATGGCTAAAATGGTCATCAGAGCTTTCTTGCAAAAGAGCATCCACACTGCCATGGATGCTCTTGTGCAAAAGCACATCTCTTCCACAAAAGCACATGGCAGTGTGGACACACTCTTGTGGAAGACCTTTTGCACAAGAACTCTTCCACAAAACAGTTCTTGTGCAAGAAGCCTGCAGTGTAGAGTAGCCTCAGAGTGTTACAAAAATTAATCCTCAAAACACAACACACACAGGCAGGTCAGCACTTGCTTTATAGTTGGTAGGAACAGATTGTCAAGGCCACAACATGAGTTAGTGGCAAAGCCAGGACTGGAGTCTGAGGGTATGTAATGGAGCATGCCTCAGAGCTACAGGTATTTCCTGCTGGCCACTTGGGAATTAGCTCATCCAGCCCTGGAGTGCCCCCTTTTGACCTGTGTCACCATTACCTATTTTTCTCTCCACTTCTGGATACTGCCCTATCACAGTGCCCCAAACTCTGGGGTTTTCCCCTTCTGGGAACCCCCACTTCCTTATGCCTACCTTGCCTCAGTGACCCACTGCAGCTTCATCAGCCCCTTATCTCAGGGCAAACTGCAGTCTGAAATAGCCACTCATCATTGGCAAGGAAGTGTGGACTTGCTACTTTTGACAACCACCCCTCCCCCATCCCTAGTACTCTCAGGCCTTGCTACCTGGGGCCTTTCCTGGCCAGAGTTTCCCCAGCTGTTTGCCTTTTACCAGTCTCTCTCTCCTCTCCTTCCCCCCTCCCCCGGCATCTAGATGCCTTCCTGCTCCCAGCTAGAGCAGGAGTGAGTCTGTGTCTCTTCCTCTCCAGGAGCCTTTATTTATAGTCCCTTCAGCTGGGCCCTAATTAGCTAGTACCTGCCTCAGCTGTGGTGCTTTGCTCTCTCAGCCCTCTCCTAGGGCTGGGTTTTACTCTTAAAGGACCAGTGAGGAGCAGACACCCCATTATAGGGTATTTCATTGTTTTTTGCTTATACCACAAGTTGATGCTATTAGCAATTAGAAGAGAGTGTGTGTGTTTTAAATGCATAGCTACTATATATTTGAGAGTTTGTCTGCCTGTGAATGTATCTGTCTGTTCAAAAACTCCTCCTAAATGGTGCTAGGATCACCAAATTCAGTATGCAACTTCTTCTCATAACTTAAGCCACGGTAATGGTTTGGTTGTGCCTGGAATGGGATTGTTTCTCATATAAGAGAAAAGAGACAATCACCAGCAGGAGTGGCGCAGAGATGGGGGCTGGGAGTCTCAGGGCAGTGCATCCTCCTTCGCCAGAAAGGATTGTCCCAACCTTGAGCCTCCTTCCCCGCCTCTCTCCCCCAGCATCCTTTAGGACAGTGGTCTACAACCTTTTTATACCCAAGATCACTTTTTAAATATCAGAACAAGCAAAGATCTACCACCTCACCCCACCCCTCCCCTCCCCTCCCCCCAAGACCCCATCCCTTCTTTGAAGCCCTGCCCTCTCTTTTCTCCTCCTCTCCATCATTTGCTATCCCCAATCCTTATACTGCTGCTTTTTTTTCAATCCTTCTGTAGGAAGAGGTTTTTTCAACATTTGGCCTGTCTAGACTGGACCAAATGTCAGAAAAAAAACCTTCTTTTGGAAGCCCCCTTATTCCTCATGGAAAGAGGAATATAGGGGTGACCGAAAGAGCATGTTTGAAAAAAGTGGAAGAACAAACACATCCCTGGATGCAGAAGAGTGTTTCTGGGATATCTCCAGTATCCTGAAAAACTCCTGCAGTCTAGCGCTCCCGCTCAGGGATAAGCCCTCTTGCGCAAGTATTCTTGTGCAAGAGGGCCAGTGTAGACAGCCACGTTAATTACTTGTGCAAGAAAGCCCGATGGCTAAAATGGCCATCAGCACTTTCTTGCTCAAGAGAGCGTCTACACTAGCACGGATGCTTTTGCACAAAAGCAAATCTTTTGCTCAAAGGCACATGCCAGTATAGATGCTCTCTTGTGCAAATACTTGTAACGGAAAAACTTTTCTGTTAAAAGTATTTGCACAAAATCATGCCAATCTAGACACAGCCCTCCTCTCCATCACTTGCTATCCCCAGCTTTTATGCACTCTACACTGCCACTTTTCCCCCCAATTCTTATGTAGGAAGACGTTTTTCCAACATTTGGCCTGTCTAGACTGGACCAAATGTTAGAAAAACCCCTTCTTTTGGAATCCCCCTTATTCCTCGTGGAATATTCCACTAAAAAAAGGCAGAACAAATGCAGGGGTCAGGGTACAGTGGGAGCAGGGGACACGGTGCTGGGGTGGGGGCAGGGTTCTGCAGCAGGGGACAGGGTGCCAGTGGGGAACAGGAGAGAGGGGACAGGGTGCCAGTGGGGAACAGGAGAGAGGGGACAGGGTGCCAGTGGGGAACAGGAGAGAGGGGACAGGGTGCCAGTGGGGGCAGGGAGTTCCCTGCACCAGCCTCCCCACAGGACTCCCCTCCCCCTCCAGAGGAGGGAAGCCCCTGCACGCGCC